AAGTTTTCAATAAACAATAATAAAGTTTTGTTTAGATGCATATTTGAAGGAGTGCTTATTTATGCTAAATAATGGGTGATTTTGAACTTTTGAGATATATTTTATTTTTTAAAAGACAAAAACTGTTTTAAAAGAACTAATTTCGAACTTTTACTAAAATTACTTTTGACACCATAATATTTACTTCTAAATTTATAGAAGGATAGTTACCAAACACTTTGGAAATATCTTTATCATCTAAAAGTACTTCTTTAGCAAAATTATCATACTCAAAAATAGCTTACCTCATGACAATTTGGATGACCATTTTTTTTTAAACGCTCAGCTCATGACAAATTGGTTTTTTATCATCTGAAACAGGGCCTTAGGCCCTCCTGAAGACCCAAAACAAAACAAAAAACACACAAAAAAAAAAAAGGCGTGACAACTTGGATGCCCATTTTTTCAGCTCACCTCGTCTAGTTATCCTGGCAGAAAACCATTTCATGTATGGGAATCAATCAGGACTGCAAAACCTCAAATTTAGTAGGCTAATTCATGGTTATTTTCTTTGGTAGCAGAAAAGGGCATCGAATAGATTGGCAACGAGCCCAATCGCTCTATAATGCCACTTGGAGCGTAAATTTCATCGAAATCCACCGGTTAGTGGTCAAGTACCATTGATAAACTAATGGAGACACTGACGAAGCCATTTCCCTTGCTCCGCAGAATGCCTTGCACATTTATATTCTAATTTACCTTAAACGAACAATTAACTAATGACACACATGAATTACCAATAAAAGTTAAGCTGAAATTATCTTTTGGGGAACATCCTTTAGCCTTACATCACCCTTGTTGTAACGTTGTGGAACTCTACATATCGATAGGAAAGAAATGCACTAGAAACGGATTCACGTGAGCGTAATGGTATGACACGCTAATACCCCTCGGATGGAAGGATTAGATTGGATGATAAGGTAACAAAGATCGAAAATAGGAGATTTTAGTTTAAGATTCGAAAAAAAAATAAAGGAAAAAAAAAAAGGGACCAAAAAAACATGAAAGAAGATGCCATTGAAATTTTTTTTTTTTAAAAAAAGAGGAACCAAAAGGTATCAATCATAATATGATTGGAATGGAGAGCATAATTGAAACATCAGGAGACCACATGCAAGCAAATATAATTCACAAAATGGGTCCTTTTATATAGGCTAATCCACTGACTCAGCCTGGCCAAATATGGCCGCCATAAGACTACAAAATTCATACAGTTTTTAAGAAATTACTGAAGATAAAATATACATATTTCCTCTACTCTCCTTCAATCCAAGCCGTCCAAGGTGTTATAATCCAACGGCAAAGAGAGCTACGAGCGAAAAAATATTAATAAAAAATAAATAAAATTATTAACTGTAGATTGCAAACATGAAAAGGAAGGGGAGGGCAGCATATGAATACGGCTGGTCTAGCGTTGCAATTCCTGTATATCCCCAACAGAAGATCGCAACCGCTTGGGTTGCGGCGGCTCATGCTCTTGAGCGGCGCCAATAGTCCCGCTCCCAGCCGCCGAACAAGGATTCTCGGAACGCGTGTCGCAGCTAACACAAGCCGCAGACTCGAGGACGCCGACTGGGCTCGGCGGCGCAGCAGCTAGAATCTGCATCCTTGACCTGACTTTACGGTCAGATCTCGGACAGGTGTCCACCAAATACTCTTCCATTAGTTGGTGACAGCTTCTCACCATTTCCTGTCCCCAAGAAAAATTACGACCGGACCAACACAGAAGAGGAAAAAAAAAAACAAAGGAGAAATCACCACCAGATTTTCACAGCTTACGATGCTTCGACTTTGACGTCAAAATCAGGGCAAAGAAAGTACGCCATAATTTCATTTTCCTTTTTTTTTCCTTTCAATCATAAAAACAACCACACTAAAACTGCGAATTTCGAATTACGACCACAAATGTACAAAATTCATTACTTTTTCCACCCTCTCGTAAAATGTGAGGGGTAATGACTCCAATTCCTTCCCGGCGGCTGATACCACGGCAGCCGCTGCAATAACCGACGGCGAGATTCTCACGAAGTCTATCACTGTTTGACATACATACCCAAAATGAAAAAAAAAACAATAAATTCAATAAGTTTTAGTACCACCGTAAAAGAAAGAGTAGTTATACCACAATAATTCAGAATTACAAATATTGATCGAATTGGCTAAAAATAAATACCCCGGATGGTGTTTAGAACAAGATCAGAAGATGTGGATAAAATGTGAATAGCAGTAGGAGTAGGGTGTGGGGGCTGTGGAGAGGCATGATGATGAGCAGAGAGTGGAGAAAGTTTGGAGATGAAGTAGTGGAGGAAGTCGAACGGAGTAACGGAGGAGAGTCTCCAATCCAGATTGGCCATCACCAAAAGCTCCATCCTTTGAACAGTCTTGGGATCGAATACGTAGGTGGGATCCATAATCTGGAGGTCAATGAGAAGGGGGACGCGTGGTTCCTCCATCTTAGCAGCCAGGGAAAGGCAGGCCACCGATAACAGCTGATATTGCCACCCATTTCCCTGCAATCAAACCATACCCACCATCACCCGCCCATCTTGTATCCACTACCACTACCAATACATTGTCCCCACAATGTACGTATTTATTTACACCAAATACAAACTACGTATCCAAGTTCCAGTATCAGCATACCGGGAGATGGTAAGAGGAGAGGAACCGGTCAAAGTAATTGACGGCGAGGAGAGCCGTTGCGGGCTTGAAATCGTAGCGTGCATGGACCTGTCCTCCAGGCTCCCCCAACAACATCCTCGGTTAAAACTTCCCAAACCTTAAAAGTTTATGGTACTAAATTACAAGTAGACAAAATTTTTTTTTTATAAAAACTATAAAAATGTAGATGACGTGTATATCTGGTATATACTAGACCACCTTGAGAATCCAGTTGATGGAGTCTTGGCGGGAGGTGAGGTGGTGGAGGCAGAGGCGGCGGAGGAGGTAGTCAGGGGAGGGCATATGGTGGCTCTCGGAGTCGAAGAGATGGTTGATGGTGGACTCATCATCGGGCTCCTGATTGTAGCGGATCGCAGCGTCGGGATGGGATTGGACCACTTCATCGGTGTCCTCGGGGCAGTAGAGGGGAGCACTTCCGGCAGCTGAATGCTCAGACATGGTGATGGAGGGCAGTGGTCAGACAGCGAGGCAAGTTATAGATGGCGGCGCGTGATGGCATATTTGGGGGGTGGCCAAAGCAGCTAAGGTCGGAGGAGCCGGAAGGGGCACTACTACTAGGCGGAGGATTAAGAAGGTTTGTGAAGCATTCGAGAGACACATGGCAGATTACGGTTTGACAAGTGAGGACATGTTTTTTACAAGGTGTGTTTTTAATTGTTTAGGGGGAAGAGAAGAGAAGTGAAGTGAAGAGGGTGCGTTTTCATGTTGTTTTTGTTCTCTTGTCTAAATAAATACATTTTTTGGCTGTAAAATGCTGGCCTTGTTTGTATTCTATTTTTTCTCAAATTTTTTTTTTTTTTATGTTTCTAATAAACACATTTTTTGATTATTTTTTTTTTTACTTCGCATGCATTAACTTGTTATAATATATTTTTCTATAAAAATTCAAGAAACTAGCAATTGGAACAGAAGTACGTGGTTTTCGATTTTTGTTTTTTAAACACGAATAGTTTTGGGTTTTTGCAATATGGTCTGTACGAGAGAGCAGGAAGATTAGTAAAAAAAATTTTTGATTGCAGAGAGAAAAGAAGAGAATGTGAAGAGGAGAAGAAACGGAGATTCTTGAGAAAGGGGGAGGTGCAGGAAACTTTGGTGCGGGTAAGATGTGATCCCTAATTCATTCTTGTTCTGTAGGGAAGAAAACAAACTTGATATGGGCACTTGAAATGACAGCATAAAGAGGTACGGCTTCCACTCTCTTAATTTGATGGGCAATGGAAGATGGGATTATTATTGTTATTGTGATCTGTGGACTTGGGTCAATGATAGGATACTGGTACGCATAATGCTCCTCCTCCACCTCATGTTAGAGGTAAAAGGAGGAGCGCTTTGGGCCTCCCTTGGTTTTGGCACCTTGACAATTTACGTTGCGTACATTTTGGATGACAAATTAGTCCTTTCCTTTGATCAAACTTAATCTTATTAACCACTGAAATGCCCACAGCTGATTGGAATTTGCACCTCCCTCCCATCTTCTTTGCTTCTTTATTATTGTGTTGTGTCTACACAATTAAGTATTAACCCTAGGGCTGTCAACGGGCCGGAATTCATTATTCCGGACCCGGACCCGAATTACTATGCCGGATCCGGATCCGACCCGTTTATCCGACGGGTCTTTTATTCTATGTTCCGGATCCGGATCCGGGTCTACCCGAACAAATTTACCAAAATTTATAATTTCTAATAAAAATGAGAAAAAAATATATTTGTAAACTAATTTCTAACTAATGCAAAGAAAAAACCAAATAAGAAAAGAAATCAAATTAACTTTATTAAAATACATCACCCTAATCAAATTATATTGATAAATATATATTTTTTAAATTATTAATTCATTTATATCCGGATCCGGGTCTAATACGGGTCGGAATACTATATTCCGTATCCGACCCATTTTTTTGTTTGGCAAAACGGATCCGGATCCGAATCCGGGAAACGGAATTAAATCCCTACCCATACCCGCAATAATTTCACGGATCCGATTCGGATCCGGGTCTAGACCCGACCCGTTGACAGGCCTAATTAACCCCACGTAGACATCCACAAGGGCATCAACCTTTCTTTCTCCCTTTTCTTCTCTTCTTGGTTTGGCCCATAGGCCATAAATTTTTAGTATCGTCCATAAATTTCTAGGGTCACACAGGAAAGGCAAATGAATTTTGGGCCACCGATGAGAATGATCCACAACTACCTACAGAAAAAGGGGATGAAAATAAAGGAGAGATTGCGCTTGCCTCTAGCAAGTGAAGCAGATGCACAACACCACCAAAAGCAGAACAGCTTTGAAACTACTATCATCATCTGTGTACCGAATTACTTTTCCATCATCTCTAATAGTATGAGAAATGAGGTTTCTTTTTCTTTTTTCTTTTTACCTCCCAAGTATCCCTCTACCATTAATCTTAACAGGGTATAAACCAGAAGAAAATAAGAATGTCACTGCCCATTGTACTGCTGCGAGTGTATGATGAAGCGGCAATGTTGAATGTATGTGATTAAACTGAGGGGAAATATTTTGTAAGGCCAAAAGGGAGACCATAGAATTCTTCACTTCTGGGATCTCTCTCAAAGGTCCTGTACTTTGCCCACCAGTGCCTACCGCTGTCTTTCCTGGTTAGACTGTGCTTGCGTGCCAGCGTCATGTCCAAGAATAAGGCCACAATGCCCGCTACGGTAGCCGGGGATGTGAAGATCACCGTCATCAATTTGTTGAACTGCAGATTTAAATTGTGTAAGACAAATCTAATAATCTTCTCCGAGTTGGAAGATTTTATGATGATTGGTGACCTTGAAAAGCTAAACCTATGGACGTACAGCCGAGAGCATGGAAAAAAAAAATACATACCCAGAGGGAATGTGTGTTGACGGGGCCATGGCCGCTTGTTAAAACATAGCCGTTAAAGTACTGCGGTACTGAAAGGCCCATGAAGAAGGAGAAGCCTAATATAAACTTGGTTCTGAAGCTATTGAGGTTGCAGAATTGAAGTAGACCAAGACCTGCAGAAGCTGCATCGAGACAGAGAGAAGAATCAACTCGAAAGGAGAAAGAAACAAGCTGCAGAATTACCAAAAAGCGCGCCATTTTTTTTTTTTCCTTTTCCTGTTGCTATACAATTCTTTTCTTCCTGTTTCAGGGATACTAATAACCGCATGGCTTGCTCCATTCTAAACAATAACGTTGAACACATACGTACACATCAAAGCGAACAACACGCAGTAGAGTGCTCCAACAATAGGCAATGGAATAGAAGCGAGAACAGCTCCAAATTTCCCTGTTCACATATGGCAAAGGTTAGTCCAAGTTCAAAACAAATTTAGGAGAAGAAACAAAGTTAAATCATGTCTCCCTTCCAAATATTGAAGCAACGGCATACCTAATATGGAGAAGAAAAGCATAAAAACAGCTGATATTTGGATTACTCTTCTGCTTCCAACACGCGTCAATGCCAGCAGACCAACATTTTCACTGAAGTAACCACAAAGAAGTGAGGGATTATCAGAACAGTTTGAGTTTTTAATAGATCAAGAAGTGAAAATCGTGTGATTAATAATGAAGTTAACTGAAACATTGATATCAGAAACTAAAATAGGTGACAAGATTATAATTTCTAATCCAGACTCGCCACATTGTTCAGTAAATCTGCTCTTATCTGTTCTGTTGCGCGTTACATATGTAATGTAACTGACCATTACATATTGAATTGCACAGATAAAGACTATCTTCGTTGACTGACGAAACTTATGGCGCTTTCGAAACATGAGCAAGCCGGATTGTGCTTAGTGCTGGTTTAGGAAGAGTGTTGCACTTACACTGATACAGTCGATCCACTTCCTGTCCCCCATAATCCATCAAACAAAATGGCTATCCCCTGACAACCATATAAAAGAAATGAATTAAACAAAAAAGCTTGCGGAGGCTGAAAAGAATAATCATGATTTATAAGGGGATTGGTATCCACCAGCCAGCCAACACCACGGCTCAAAACGGAAGGCGGAGTATGAGTTGCGCTCCCAAATCTTGCTGCTGCGATAAACGCCCCGGTAGACTGCCCAAAAAAAGGTCAGACATTAGAAATCAAAATTGTTGTTGGAGAAAACTTATCATAAAAGGATACAAGTACAACAGAAATGATTAAGTACATCTTCTGAACACCCAAAGAAAAAAGGGGATGGCAAATAAAAGAAGTTTAGATAGAGAATAATAAAGGTATTTATGTATATAAAGCTTTGAATTATGTTGGCAACTGAATCAGAAGCAACTATCTTTAATGTCTCTGAGCTAAGCAACCAATATATGCGTTTGAGACAAGCCAACCTCAACAACAGAAACAAAAGCAGCTGCCAGCATCAGAATAGCTTCCCCAACGTGCAGACTGGGAGTACCCCATTGCCATGGATACGGGAATCTTATCCTACATATGGAAGGAAAGAAGGAGAAGTGAAATGAAATGTCCTAAGCATAGAACCCGTGCCAAAATCATTACAGCTGATACTACTGACACCAGTGACGCCAAACATGATAACTGACGACCCAATACAAGTAACCACAGATATCAATTTGTACTCACCATGAAGCTCCACTTATAAGCCCAGATCGATCAACACGACAACTGAACTGAGTTTGTGGGGGGCTATTTTTGTATGCACCAGCAACAGTCAAAAGTGCAGCATATGCCCATACCAGTCCTACAGCGATTAGGACAGCAAATCGATCGAAGATGGGGCGGTTCAATTTATAGAAGTGAGGCGTATACTGCAAAGACATCAATTGCACGTACCATGAACACTTGGGCAAAGCATTCAAATCGAGAGAAAACACAAATTAAGATACAAGAAACTAACATGTTTGAAAATTAAGAATTACCTGAGATAATAGAACCAGAATAATTAATTCTGGAAGACCAATCTCGATACATTGCGCCAGCTACAAGCATGAAAGAAGATAAAGATGAGAAAAACTTGTCAAGATGAAAATAATCTGTATTACTGGTAAGTGACAGCAAAGATAAAACACAAAGTAAAGCACAAAAATGAAAAAGCTATAGTGAAACAGTGCGCTATTTTTTTTTTCCTCAAGATAAACCCATGATCGGGAGCGAGGAATAAACTTCCGTTCCAACATACACAATAATATTCCGTGAGCGCAATTTAACATCACAAGATTACCTACATCTATTAGTTTGGTTGAGCCATCCCATGTAAATTCAATTGGCCAATCATCACCTTAAATGAAAAAATGAATTGGACATAGAAATTGGATGAGCTCTTACCAGAGGGAAGCCGTGTTCATAAAGCCCAAGGCCAACCAGAGTTACCAAAGGAACAGCGGAAAGAGGGCTAATGAACCTACAATATTAGGCGAAATAGAATTGAGTTCTTTTCTAGAATATGAATGAATAAAACAAAATCGAGCAAATTCTACTAGTACTAATATAAAAAGTAGTAGTACTATTAAGTAACAACTAAGACATCACCTCACGACAATTCTCCAAAGACCCAAAAAACCAATCAATATTGGGAGTATGGCTGATAGCATGACAGCCCCTTGAACTGCCCTCATCGTGTTTTTGAATCTCTGGGAAAGTTTTGATGACAGAAACAAATGAAGACATGGTAAATAAGATGGATTATCGGGACAAAAGAGTATCGTGCGCGTCTTGCTCTGCCAATGCTTGGCAGACGTATACCTGACGAGGATTAACATATACGTTGAATCTAGTGGCTAAAGCAACAAAAAGAGCTGGGATTATGTAAGTGAATGATCCCCGCATCACGACCGGAAGCCGGGTTCCTAACCAAGTCTGTAACAATGTATTCACTCCTGAGACAAAGAGCATAGTTTGTATCACTTGAGCTTTCTCTACCTGCAGGTGGTACAATCAAAAAACAAGAAAACTCCAAACGGATTAGCAGCCAATCAAAATTGTTCTATTTGAATTGGAATTGGGCTTTCTAAATGCAAGACTCTTACATTACCACCGCCCATTTGGGGAACAATGATGGTGGCGATGATGACTGTAGTCCCTATCATCACCAGGAAGTGCTGAAATCCCAGAATTACTGCTTCGACTGCAATTTTATTGTTGGCAAATCAACGGTTACATTTGCTCAGAAATTTTGAAGTGATCGCTTGAATTTTCTTAATTGTCAATCATGTTATCAGCATTACTAGCATGAAAAAGAAAGTCAATTCGACAGGCCAACCCCAGCTTCTCACAGAAGTTCTAAATTGGAAACTGAAAAATTGACATTGAGCATTTTGCAGTCCAACAAAGCCACCATTGCATACAAGCAAGCAAAAAATGCAAAACCAGAGTGTCAACTGGGGGCAATTTCAAACAAATTACGAGCCGCTAAAATGGGAAGAAGAAGAAGAAGAAGAAAAGTAGGGGTGACAATTTTTCAGAAAAATAACGTACGCCAAGAAGGGTTGCTGTTGACACAGTAATCAATGCCGGTGAGCTGGTCTTTCACCGGGTGTGGCACCAACTCATCCCCCTTCGCCGGTACCGTCATCCCTCTCTCCAAGAAGTCTTAAATCAAATAACTGCAAAACCAAAAAGTCTTACAACCCTCAATCAAACATTGGGCTACCCAATATCTGAATCATGCAAAAGTGCATGTGCATGTAGGAGTTAAGTTGTCAGTTCTATTGATGACAAAGCGAGGAAGCTGCTGCTCAAAGGAAAGAGCCAGTTAGTACTAGTCCGATAAAAGAATCAAAGGAAATAGGCAGATGATGATGATGATTGATGAGATGCTACTGCTAGTAGGAAAGTGATGGTTATTGGTTAGGCTAAGGCAGGCAGCTGAAGTTATGACTTTGTTACTTGGAAGCCAACGAACTTTAATCATCTCCTTCTACTACTTCTTCATTCTGTATCTACCATTATATTAATTAATCTGTACAATTATGGTAGCAGTATACTACTATCATTTTCTTTCCCCTGAAAGGCGAACCTAACGATGCAAGCAACATACGAACGTCATGACAACCTTTATCTAGGAACCACCGAGCCACCGAAGGACTAAATTCCTCTTTTGGCTATGTTGTAGGTCAAGGTTCAAATTACATCTGTAACCAAAAAAAAAATTAAATGAAGTGTTAGAACATTTTTTTTATCTAATCAGATTTGTATACCTGCTAACTCTCCTTACACAGGATAAATTAAATTATAAAAATATTATCGCTGATGTAAAAGAAACAAAAAAAAGATAGCCTTTATTTAGGACATCTCAAGGTTGGGGAAAGAATAATATTGACTACATGTGACATAAATGATATTGTGTTGTTATATTACGCACTATAGACATTAATGTTTGGATTTATGTGTTATGTATTTACTAAACCGACAAAGGAGGAGTGAGAAAAAAAAAAAAAAGACGTAATATGAATTGCAAGAATTGATCAACCCTCATGATCAAGACAAAAAAAGGTCACTTAATTGATTCTTATGAAAAAATACTACTATATATTATTGCCTTTGGGTTCTTTTTTTTTTTTTTTTTTTGTGTGTTTTGGGGCGAGATTAATAGGTCGTAAGCTAGGTCAAACGTTATGTATCCGACCATTCTTGAGAGTAGAAACTACTGTCCTGTGGCACGTCTTTTGCAAGGTGAATTCAATTAGACATATAGTAGTACTATAATCATAGCCTGGAAAGCTTTAATGTTGACCAACTTAATATTAAGTTAGGTAATGTTGTTGTAACGCAAAACAACATAATGAGTTGAATTAGTGGTTGACATTCTAATCATTGGCGATTCAAAGGATTATTCCAGGTGCAAGTTGGATTAACATTAATATGGTATTTTTTCGTATTGTACAAGGTGGTTAGTGTTACTTGTCTGTGTTTGTCAAAAATAAAAAAAAAATTGATTGTATCCTTTGTAAGCAAATGTCAAGAAATGGTTTTTACTTTTTATTCGCATCGTTCAACAATTCCCTATCTGCTGTGACGAATGAAGTTGTTGCGGACTGGGGTCCTTTCTCTTTTTCCTTTCGTGTTAGATGATCCTCACGGAGATGTAACGCTCCTCTTGACCCTAAAATTCTTTTAGATTTACACATTTAGTTAATATTTGGCACACTTCTAATGTTTGTTCTTCATTGATGAGTTTTGTGGATTTGTAGTTTGATGAGAAATTGAGGATTATTAATTATGTTTTTAAAGGGGAAAAAAAAAAAAGAGGAAAAGAAGAATAACAACAACTCTATTTGAAGAGTAAAAGTTTAATGCAATTCTATAGATGACGCTGGAAAATATAAAGGACTGAATTTGATGAAAAAAAAGACTAGTGATCTAATGGTGCTTCTTTTTTCTTTTTTTTTTTGTGTGCAGCATTAAATTTATTCATTCACCTCACCTGTGGTTCTGTAGAAATAAATACTAAACAAGTAAATCTGTGAATAAAATAAAGCATACAATGCTTATCAAAATTCTTAATATCCCACGAAGGCTTAAAACTTTTGGAAGAAGGATTTTGATGCAAATTAAACAGATGACGCACAAATTTTTTTTACATAAGACTACTCCCGAATCGTTTCACATAAAGAACAAACTGTATTTAATGGCATAAAGAAATTATAATAAAAAAAAATTGTCCTTCAAATTTGTAAAATTCAAGAATGGCTATTTTCCACAGAAAGAAAATTAAATCATTGTCGAACACGTTAGGAGTTAGTTGAAAAGAAAATTTTTTTTTTGACTGATTTATATTTTCTTCAGTCGATATCCCGTAGGGTCGTTCGTGGTCAGAAGATGGTGAACCAACCTGGATCTGCTAACCCAATTCCAGCACGAAATCCCTCAATATGCATTAAGGTATTAACAAAATTTTAAAAATTGTAGGAGTCAAAGTTTTAGGTTGGAGCATTAGGCATTCTTCGCATTAATTCAGTCAGTTTGAGGACGCATGTCCCAGCTTGCAAGTTAGCACAACCTGCAGCCCCCATCCTTCCTTCAACTACAAGTTATGCGATAAAACGAAGGCGGCCAAAAATATGAATTCCTCAGTCATGGCATGATGATTAAAAATATGAAGCCAAATTATACACACGCATGGCATCTCAAAACGATCAATTAGGAGGAGGACCAAAGGAGATAATCTTAGCATTAGAATTCAGCCAAATTGACAACAAAGCGCAATTTAGTTTGTAAGACGTTTCAATTATAATTAATAGGTGACGGGTTCGAATCGTCAAAAAAGATGAGAGAGTGAAGAACTATTATTGATCGTTTAAAAAAAATGAAAAGAGTTTAGCCAAATTAATTACCAAAAATTAAATTGACTGTGATGATATATAATTTATTACAAGAAGAACATTTTCAATATTTCTACAAAAGAAAAATAATGGTCATTTTCTGGAAAAGAAAAAGATGTCATATATAATATTTTTTTGTCTTTTTTTGGGACACAAAATTAAATTTTGCTCACAACACAAAATTTATGTTCTTTTTGCAAATTTTCACAAATTTCCAGATGTAATCTTTCCCACAACGATATATGTATATATATATATATATATACATATATGCGATTCTTTCAGCATCATTTCCTAGTGCAAATTTATTTTCATGTATATAACCTGAGGGAGTATTTATTTTGACAAGGAAAAATGAGAACAAATTTTAAGTTGTGAAACTTATAACTGGTTGAAGAAAGAGCTCGGATCATGCAACTGGGCCTGTTGGGCTCGAAAATAGACAATTCATTTGTGAAGCAATTAGAAACCAGCAAGGCATCCACGTTAGTTACAGATCACAGTGCCGTTGTCAAAATAAACAAACCAAACTGTTTCTGAATAAAAGGCCACATCTACATTGCAATTGGGCAATGAATCAGATTTGCATTAGAAAGGCAACCGAGTGTCCAGCAGACTCAGCTCTAATATTGCGCCCCTGATGCCAATTCAAATAACGCTAGAACAATTCTGACTCGATGCTAATTCTTGTGGACTTTGCTTGTTTTTTTATCGTACAACCTGCAGGCAGAGAAAGCTCATTGTTATGCGGACTTTGCTCGTTGTCTCAGGACCTGATGCTAATTCTTTTGGACTAAATACATTATTATTGTTTAGTTTTTTGTTAGATCTAAGAGTTTTTTCATGTTTATATGTTAGATTTAGAATTTTTTGCATCTTCTCGTCAGATGTTAGCATCAGTTTTGAACTTGAACCTATTGCATACTAGATCTAAAAAAATGTACATGCACATATTTATGGAATAACTCGTGCAATTGGTCTGATCTGAATTCACAGTGTAATTTTTCTTATATTGCAACTCCTAACTAGAGGCATGTTCTATTCATTTTCTATTATTAGCATAGCATTTTTTTGTCAAGTGAAAGAGCTAAAAAAGGTGGAGCAGAATTGAATCCAACCACGGAGATGAGGGCGGCCAGTTGACCTGCAAAAGACAAAATACGGGACTAATTTCCCATTGTAACTTCGACGCTCAAGTCAGCTGTGGCTAACTTCCCATTGTAACTCCGATGCTTAATCTAGTTAGGACTAACTCCTCGTTGTAATTCCGACGTTCAAGTTAGTTGGGAGCTTAATAGGTAAAATAAGAATTGTAGTGATGTCTACCTTTTTATGAGTTCACTTCTGTTATTTATAGAGCCTTACCAAATAAGCAATAGGAAGATTAGGGCTGCGTTTGGATTGAGTGTTTTTGCACCTGTTTTTGAAAAACTGTTTTTCACATTCCAAATGCTACAGTAATGTGTATTTCAAAAACAACTTCAAAAACACCATATCCAAACAATATATCAAAAACAACTCCAAATATATTTCAATTATGTATATTTAATTTGTATATTTTAATAAGTATATTTCAATTTGTATATTTTAATTATGTATTTTAATATGTATATTTCAATTATATTTTAATATGTATATTTCAATTATGTATTTTAATATGTATATTTCAATTATGTATATTATATATATATTATATTAATATAAATATATTTATTTCAATTATGTATAATATTATATATATTATATCAATTGAAATAAATATTATATATTTATATAAATACATTTATTTATATATAAATTTATAAATATATTTATTCAATTTTGTTTTATAATATATATTAATATATATTAATATGTATATTTCAATTATGTATATTATACATAAATTATATTAATAATAATGTATATTATATATATTATACATTTCTAATATTATATATTTATACTTACATATTATAAATATTTTATTTTATTTATAATATATTTTTATATATTTATAATATATTATATATAATATAATATATATTATATTATACATTTATATAAATGTACATTTATACATAATATATAAATATTTATGTATATTTATAATATACATTTATATTATGTATAATATATAATATAATACATTTATACATTTATATTAATATACATAATATTAATTTTACATTTATACATAATATTAATACATGTATACATTTACATTAATTATATTAATACATTTCAACATAATATTAATATATATTTATAATATATTAATTTATACATTTATATAATATTCATTTATAATTTATACATTTTTAATAATATACACTTATACATTTAAATATACATTTATATTATGTATTATATATAATATAATACATTTATACATAATATCAATACATATATACATTAATATTAATTATATAAATACATTTCTACATAATATTAATATATATTTATAATATATTAATTTATACATTTATAATATTCATTTATAATTTATATATTTATAATAATATACACTTATAATTTATAATATATTTATAATATTCATTTATAATTTATACATTTATAATAATATACACTTATACATTTATAAATATATTTATATTATGTATTATATATAATATAATACATTTATATATTTTTATATGAATATATAAATATATTTATTTATAAATATCTATAAATGTATTATAAATGCATAAATGCATATTTATATAAAAATATAAAAATTATAATTTATACATTTATACATTTATATAATATTCATTTATAATTTATACATTTATAATAATACACATTTATACATTTGTAAATATAAATGTATTATAAATGCATAAATGTATATTTATATAAAAATATAAAAATTATAATATTCTAAAAATACTCAAAAATATGTTTCAAAAATACCTCTAAAAATAATCCAAAAAAATCTACAGTAAAAGTTTTTCATATAGTTTTTGAAAAACAACCCCAAAAATAACTAATCCAAACGGACTTGTTTTTCAGATTCAAAATGCTACAGTGGTGTTTTTGAAAAACAAACCCAAAAACAGCTAATCCAAACGAAGCCTAGGTTTCTTTCTTTGTTTCGTGATAATCGTTCCACCAGATAATCAAAGGTTTATCAGGTGGTTATGGGTAGAATTTTGGAGACATTGGAGACAAATAACTCCCTTCACAAAAAATATTCCTAAAATGATTCAATTTCATACTTTATTCCCATAACAACCTTTTCTGTTATCCATCTGATCAAATTCAAATGGAAATGAGAAAAAGGGTTAAACCTTTCATTAGCCATTAATCTAGTTCAAAAATTTCCTACATGACTATAATACTTTAATATGAATCTATCGTCTCCTTTCTGACTATAATACTCTACTCTGTCTTTACTTGATATTCTACTGTCCAAAAAAGTCTTGAATACTTAACATAAACGTGACGATATTTTCAAAGATGAGAGCAAAATCTAAAATCTGACGGTTCATCTCTGTTCCAATTGCAGTAATTTTCTCTTTGTGATCCTTTCCTTTTTATTAAGGAAAAGAAAAAATGAAAGAAAAACTCACTATAAATCCAGGGAAATTGATATTATCACTAAACACGAAAGCAAAATCTAAAATTTTGATTATTTATTTCCATTCCAATTGCAGTAAATTTCTCTTTCCTATTAAAAACAAAAAAAAAAAAAGAAAAAACTCACTACAAATCTAGCGAAGTTGGAATTATTAGTATGTTTGTACAGGACTCTCCATCACTTGTTCATTCAATTAACTCTTTCCGGAGTTTTAGTTTTGATTTTGTCATACTGCATTGAACGAGAACTGACCCAAATAATAATAGGACACTTGGCAGAATGCTAGAGGTGGCATTGAATTGGCATAGGAAACTTGTCACCGAGGATCCCAAGTGATACAAGCGAATGCCATCATTGGTGGACATGAGATACACATTAGTAGTGTATTATTGTAGCAGTGGCATTCGTGTTGGGGGAGGGTCTTCGTGGTGCAGGTAGAGAACCTGTGTTTGGTTGTTTAGATGATCAAGTTCACATCCAGGGGCGGCTGCAGCTGCCTGCCGGACGGCCCCACTTTATTTTACAGCTAGTATTACATTCTTCGTTATGTTGTTCGACAAACCCAAAATTTCCACTTAACTGGTTTTATGAAACCTTAGCATCAATAACCTAAGCTATTTCGATATGTGCTGATCGTGGAGCTGGTAGTCTTTGAATTAAATTTGTAAATGTGCATAGGATTTTGTCCTCTCATTAATTGATGACAAACATAGGATTTATAAGAAGTTAACTTTAAAAAGAGTAGTGTTTTATCAGAAGAAGATGAGATTACGGAGATGGATTGAAAGCGACGCCAATAAAGATCCCAAGAAAGCGCCCATCAAGTCATGTCCTATTCCTAACCTAACGGGGGCTCCAAGGAATCTGACAGTTTTGCCAGCCTTCGTAGCCCATGCATGATGAGATTAACCTTCACTTAGTTGGAAGAGTTTAAAAAAGTTCCAGGACCGTATACTACTACTAGCTAGGGGAGTACTAGTTTTCTCCTGGGAGAGAAGTGAACTAGATAACAAGAAACGGAGAGAGCAATAGCCAGCGTTAGTATGAGGGTTCCCCTTTCTCCTTTCTCACATCGGTTCAGGAGTACGAGAGGATCCCCTCTTTAAAGGTCCATTGAGCTCCCTTCTAGTCAGTAATTACGTGGACAGTGGAGTTTAATGGATCCCTCTTTGGAGGAGTGATTTTCAAGCATTGTTGAAAAGAGTCCTGAACTAGATATATAGTACAGGGACGATTCTATGGTGTTTCCACCATACCATACGAGTTGGAGTTGCTTCTGGAAGTAGAGTTCAAGACGATCAAGTCTCAATATAAGAGGTGCTATCATCATTTGGAGCGTATAAATATTCCGGGAGTTGCTAACGTACGTAATAGTCGAGCATTGGAAAGTTCATTCCTTTTACTGGCAATTAAGGAGTATTTGTCCTTTATACTCGAATAAATATATATATTTGATCCCTGAGCTGACATTCTTATTCTTTGAATACGATTCTAACCAACTATTAGTGATTACCATTCGTTCGCCCGGACAAACATATGGAATAGAAGTTTGCTATTACAACTAGCTACTTCATTGATTCATCATTTCACTCACCAGTTACAGCATGAATCTCCTCATAAAAGAAGTATTAGGTTTGGAAGTCCATACTAACTTCATCACAGTAGTATCATGCAAATTAAAAATTGTTATGGAGAAATTGAGGATCAAAAACATCTATCTATATACTACTACTCCCTATTTAATGCAACATTTGTCCTATGCTTTTTTTTTTTTTTTTTTGTGGTGCAGCAAAGACGTCAAGTCAATACTTAAGAAGAGGTTAAAACAGGCCTATACAGATGTCACTTTATTAGTTCCTTAATCTTTGTAGTTTTGTATATTGAGTAAATTTTATATACAGCGAAGGTTTATGTACTATCACGGTTGGATATACGATACATATGCAAAATTTAAGTTTTAAATTCAAATTTATATTATATGTTGTGCATCTAATGGTGAAAATGTATACGCTATCAATAATTAGAAGATTAATCCTTATATATTCTAGTGGAAAATTTCCACATAGACAGACGGGAGTTTTACTTAACAAACCCCGTAGTTTATTCTTTTTTCCAAACAAACTCAGAAGTGTATATGAGGTTGGAATTTTAGAGCTAACCAAATCTTACTAAAGATCAAAGTTGACCTGTTGGAAGCTTCCAAGTCGCAGGGAATTTCGAGGAATCAAGCCAAAATGTAGACGACAATATATTAAGCTTCAATGAAAAAAGGATTATTCTATTCCGTGCCTTAATAAGAGGTGGGTAAGGAGCCTAGTTTAGTTGCCAGGACAAGTTTAAATTTTACAAAATGAGTGATAAGTTTGAAATTTATAGCATGCCTTCCGGGCAAAGAATAGAAAAAGCCATAACTTAATTGGCATGACCTGGGAGTTAGAGTACGATTCTTTTGGTATATTATTACAAGTAGGCCACAAAATTGGGGGTTTAAAACCAAATGAGTTACTGTATTATTCAACAGCAAGGAGATACCTGACTCGTGACACAGAGGTGGTGTTTGGATTGCAATTTTTCAGAGTTTTTATAAAAAATATATTGTAACAATTTGATATATGTGAAACAAAAAGGTGATTGAAAAATGTGTTTACGGAAAATTTAGAGATTTTTTGGTGAAAAATCTCTTTCCAAACAAAAATTTTGCCCTGACTCGTGACAGAAAATTTTCATGTGATTTTTTTTAAAAAAAATTATATATTCAACCAACAACCCAGAGATTTGTGCCGAATTTTAGGAATACGTTTTATATCTACCAAATCAAAAGTCTATTTTTTTTATCACAATAATAGTATTTATATAGTTTATTCTAATTTAATCTAAAAAAAAAGGCAACGGATTCCCATTCGAGAGCGCGTCACTTATAAATGACAGCCACGATTAAGTGAGAAGGGTTGACCTACCACACCCGTCAAAACACTTGTGCCCAAGCGGCTGCCCAAGAGGCTGTTGGCAATCAAAAGTCCATTTTACTTAGCATTGAAGTTGTATTCTGCACGCCGATTTGACGCGTAGTGGTACGTAACTTCAAAAACTACTGTACTAAAACTAGTACAGGTCCTATATGCCTCTCATCATGTACAATGTATTTTTCTATGTTAAAAAATTACTAAAACCAGTATAAGTCCTATATTTCTCTGCCGCAACAGCCTTGTTTGGATTGTTGTTTTTCAGAGGAAATTTTTTTATGATTTTGTAAAATATATTCATTTATACAGTATATTTTCCTATGTTCTTAAGAAAATAATTTTATATTTATAATTTAAAAATTTTGAGATTAATTTCGCAATAACCGCGGGAAACTGGAAATTACTACTCCTTGTTAGTGGGGCAGTAGCAGTAGGTTTTTTTTATCTTCTTGTAAACAGTTGTCAACTTCCTCGCAATTTCCCCAACCATCAAATATATAAGACTACCCCATCCCGCCTGCTCCCCATTATCTTTGTAGCTTTTCATCCTTTTTTTTTTGTCCCTTTCCTTGGTTTTTCCTCCCTTTCAATTTTAGTTCCCCATCAAATACCAAAACCATCTTGAAGCCCAGATATCAAAACCCAACAAACAAAAAATCCTAGAAAAAAAAAGAGGATAAATCATGAGTTATTACAATCAGCAACCTCCTGTTGGTGTTCCCCCTGCCCAAGGTTGGTTAATCTTCCTACTTTTCTATCTGCTTTTGTTGAATTGATTCGATCTAGTCGGAACTGTTCGGTTCTTTTTTCTTTTTTGGGGTTGAATTTTTGGTGTGATTTGTTGTTTGTTGCATGGTATAGGTTATCCACCGGAAGGATATGCCAAGGACGCATACCCTCCGGCGGGGTACCCTCCACAAGGATACCCACAGGGGTACCCTCCTCAGGGATACCCTCCCCAATACGCTCCCCAGTATGCTGCTCCTCCTCCTCAACAGCAATCTAGCGGTAGCTCCGGTTTCATGGAAGGCTGGTCAGTCCCCTTCTCACCTTCGTCATCATCATCTACGCTAGTATAAAATTTTTTCCCCTAATGTCTTTCCCGTGGAGTTTTATTTGAATCGGTGGATATACATGATTGGATCTGTTGTTCTGATCGATTCTGTCGGTTTTCGGAATACCCTGCTTCCGTCGACTGCGACGGTTGTTAGAGATTTTTTTTGCATGACCATTTTGCCCCCAGTATTCTATCTCAATTTCTTAGAGTAGCCCTTCAATGATTTTTGACTTGTTTTTTGAGGGAAGGAGGGGGGCTGTTTGGTCATTACAGTTGGAGATAGCAGGGCATGGTTCTCTGTTGACACCTTTTTTCTTTTCCATTTTTTTTCCTTTCAAGATTATTTAGAGGAGATGAAGTTAGGAGTTTCTTGAAAAAAAAAAAAGAACGGAAAATATGCGTTTGTCTTTAAGAAAGTGGGATGCGTGTATTCAAATCCTGGGCCCCAATTATTGGCACCGACATGATGCGTGATGCGCAAGCAACGGAAAGTGCGCGTCATCAACGTTGTTGGGCTTTTTTTCGTTGGCTTGTTTCAGTGGTTTTGCTTTTAGTGTGGTTTTTGTTTTCTCTTAAATTTAAATTAAATGGAGGAGGAAATCAGCGGAAACCTTCGCAGAGCCCACTAATATAGAGTACTGTAATAGTTTACTTGTTGTCTTGTTGATACAAAATTCGTTGATGGCATTAGGCATGTGCGCAGCCTAGATGACAAAATTGAGGTCAAACAAGTTAAGCTTCTAGGAAATTGAGTAGCTGAGAACATTGGATGTTGAAAATAACAACTAGTATAATAAGTGTTTTTGTGCATTTGTACTTTGGTATTATTTATTGTAACCTAATTGTCCTAAATCTGCAGTTTGGCTGCTCTGTGCTGTTGCTGCCTGCTGGATGCTTGCTTCTGATGGGAGAAGAATTGGGTCGGAGCAAATTTGGGAAGGGGGATAAGAAACTTGGGGGGAAAAAATTTTTCTTTGGGCATATATTGTCAATGGATTTGATTGGACATATGGATGATTAATTTAGCTATGCTCTATTTTCAGTTGTGTGTTTTGTCCTTTTTTATTTTGTGCCAGCAGCTTTACTTCAAATTCAAGGTGGTTGTGATTTGACCTGGTATATGCTTCTGAATTTCTTCGTAGTTTATTGCAAGTGGTTCATCACTAGTAGTGCCCAACGCCCCTGGATGAGTGAATTATGATGAAAGCCTGATCATGTTATGCACTGCCCCTGATGAATTTCTGTTTGGCTTTGCATGACAATATTTATTATTCTAGTTTTGTTGTCGGGGAAAAGAAAATGTTCTCCCTTTTCTTTTATTCATGGGAATCAGATGTTTAGCTATAAATTAGATGTTTTGATTTGGGAGGTGGGCCGGGGGTACAAAATACTCGGATTTTGTTCCCTCTTTTCCATAAAATTGCTGAGCATGCCATGATTTGATGGCTGTGATCGGGATATTTATAAGAAAATGCGAGTGTAGCACTGCTTCGAAGGAAGGAAGGAAGGTGGAAAAACTTGGCTCCTTTTTTCGCCATCACCGTATTACTTTTCTTCATTAGTTGCCAATGTTTCCAGAATTGAAGTATTTACAAGGTGTGCTAGCTAATGGTACCTTACCTTCTAGTTGACTAAGAAAAATAGTTTTAGCAGCCAAGTCTTGTTTGTCTATTGGTCTGGTGGGCTTCCTTGCCAAATTGTAAGCGCCGTCTTTCCAGATTTCCCATCAGCGCCCTCCTGTTCATATCAGCATTCTAGAGGAAATAAAGGGCAGATCCTCCCTTAACATAGAAATATATTCTTACGAATCTATAGATCAGATTCATTGCGGTGTAGTTTTTTTTTGATTTGATGTCATGCTATTGAGTCGTCTCGTCTGTGTCTGCATCTCAATAATCTTATGGATTTCACCGAATGTCCTAACAAAGCAACTGAATGTTCTAACGAAGCTAATGTTGACCCTGAATGTCCCAAGTCTCTTTTTTCAAAAAATAAAAAAATAAAAAATTCAAGAGAACCCCGAAACTTACAAGAAGGGAGAAAAGAGTATGCTTGAGGGTTGAATAAAAACTCACACAATTATCCGGGGTTTGCACCACCGTATGAGATAATTCGGGGACGGGTTCATCATATTCTTCGCTGTTTAATCCTTTGAACGACGAAACAAACATAAATGCGCCAACCAACTTAGAGAGGAGTTTTGACTCGGGCATTCTTTTCTCCAGTCTGGCAGGGGTTGAATGCCGAAAGATTAAATTTTGTTTTGTTCCGGTCACGACTCACATGCTAATGCCATCTAGGCTGTTGGCCAAGTCTTCAACACGACACCACCTTGCTGTTTTGTTCGGACCGTCTCAGGCATTTGAATTAAAAAAAACAAAATGTATATCTATCTGTTCATAATGTAAATTAATTTGAATAGTAATACAATGTAAATTTAGTTCATTTTTCAGCGATCCCACATACATTATTATTATTGTTGTTAGAATCGCTGTACAACTTTTGCTTGACCAATTAAGGCCGGGAAATGTCGAGAAGAGGCCCCAGATTCTTGTTGAACGAACCTTTTTCTGGTCCTAAAAAAGCCCCCATCAAGTACGGCAAACAACCCACAGAAAAATATCTTCAATTCCACTTGACAATCAGCGAACTTTAGAAGTGAGGTAGAAGCAAACTTGAATAGGTTTGGCCAGCGAGAGGAGGGATGGCCTTGTTTGGAAAGGGATTTTTTTATCAAAAAAATTCTACGTTTTTGTGAGTATATTTTTCAATTATTTTTTTACTTCACATATATCAAATCATTACAGTATATTTTCTATAAAAACTTTAAAAAATTACAATTCAAACACGACCTTCATGCTGCGTACTTCCGCGTTTTGCTTGCATGAGAAATTGTAGCTCTCTTTGCCTCTCTGTCTGCCGGTCGATCACTCTGAATCTCATGTAAGCGTAATTGTGCCCGGGTAACTCAGAATCCATGTAAAAATAGCTGAAGTTTTCAACGCAATGGAAAGAGAATGGAGGCCGTGAGTCACAATCCAAGTTTCTTGACTTTGGTTGATGTGTCTTAAATTCTTAATCCTTTTCTTATCGTATACTCCTTGTAATGTAGAATACTCACCAAACCAAACCTCCTGATCAGCAAAGTGCTGAGAGCAAGATACTTCCCCAAGGACTCAATCTTAACATGCAAGACTCACAAAAATGCTTCCTGGATATGGCAAGGGTTACTAGGAGCTAGGAGCTTAATTGACAAAGGAGTAATCAGAAGGATTGGAAATGGGAGGAGTACAACCATCTGGGACCATAGATGGATTCCTGGATGTAGCTCTGGAAAGCCAACCTCCCCTAGACCTCTAAGGAGTGACTTGAAGATGGTGCATGAGTTACTCAGTCATCAAAGATGGAATAGAAACACTATCTTTAAGTCTTTCAATCAAAGTAATGCTTAGAAGATCTTAAACATCCCCTTAAGTTTGATGGGGAGGGAGGACAGCGACTATTGGCAACATAATGCAGGGGCGATGTACACGGTCAGCTCAGGCTATAAACTTCTAATGACAGAAAACTCAAATGCTGAGAAGGAAAAATCAGAGGCAGTTGGTCCAAGTATCACAGAAGGAAGTCAACAAGTTCGACAAATGTAGAACACCTTATGGAAGCTCAACATCAAACATAAAATAAAGATCTTCATTTGGAAATGCATAACAAGTGCTCTACCAGTGAGAGCAGCAATATACAGGAAGACAAGATTGGGAGATCCAATGTATAGAATCTGTGTGGAAAAGCAGGAAACAGTGGAACATTTACTGTTAAAATGTCAACACACACAGGAGGTTTGGAAGGCAGCACCAATACAATGGCACGGTGCTATAGACCAACAAGGAGATTTCAAACGTTGGTGAATCAGAATTTCAAAGGCAAGGAAAAGGCCAAGGGGGATGGAGCATATTGAACTGACTGCGAGTGTTTTATGGCAAGTGCGGAAAGAAAGGAATAAGAAGGAATTTGAAAACAAAAGCAGCTGCTCACCAGCTAGGACAATTGGTAAAGCTTATAAAGAATGGCTGGAACAAGAGGAAATCATGAACACTAAAGCCAGTCTAAGCACAGGAGAAACAACCTCCAACCAAGAAGAACATCATCAGGGTCATGTAGAAGAGGGTACCATTATTTTGGATGTGGCTACAACAAGTCAATACAGTCAGGTCTCACTGGGGATTGGAGTTACAGCTAGAATGCATCCAAACATTAGGATTGCGGAATGGGCGCTCAAAGAGAGAAGCCTAGGAGATAAAGTCATAAATGAAGCAGTGGCCATTAAGCTGGTTTTGTGTAAAGCTCTAGAGCAGAAATGGAGCAGGATCACGATCCACTCTCAGAACCAGGTACTTATGAGACAGATAAAGTACAAGAGCCCCTCCAATAGTAGTATAGCTACCTTGATAGATAACATACTTAACATGCAGAAGTTGTTTCGTATGTGCTTGTTTTGCTTGGTTAAAGAAGATAGCATAGAAAGAAGTAAAAGATTAAGTTCCCATGCTTTAGGCATTTTTGTGGATGAGGAATGGAATTTCCTCAGTGCTTTTGAGCACTAGTTGTACAGTTTTTTCGAGTCTTTGCTCGCACATGTAATTTCTTGTTACAATGAATGAAATGATTCAAACGTTTTGACAAAAAAAAACAAAAAAGTATACTCCTTATAATGCAAGTCTAGGATGGAGTATTCAATGGCTCTAGATAATCTGAGAGATGTTCTTCTACCACCACGAAGCTACAACAGAGCAAAGCCTCGAGGTATCCCATCGTTGGAGGCAATTCGGGAAGCTGTAGTCAACGTTGTTATTATTTCATCTATTTGCACAGTGATTCTTATGTCTGCCCATTGATTCGAAGCCAAGGGGAACAAGACGAAAGAGAGAGAGAGAGTTTCCACGCTTGATTCGGTGCTGCAGCTCTGATACTCCATTTTAAGGTGACACGCGACTCCCTCGAAGAGCAACAGTTCAGCGGTCTAATCTTGTCGTTGTGGATGCATACACAACTGGAATTTCTTGCATATTTGCACTAGTACAAAAAGAATCACACAAACTGATTTGAGTTGCTTTTATCTACTTTGCTTCTTTGACTGCATACAACTATACAAGGACAACTGGAAGAGCAACTCTTCAAGAAGCGGATCATGGAGTAAGAACTTTGAATAATATTTTGGGATGCATAGAACAGGACTTATATGATACTATCATTTACTGTTGTATGTATACATCTTAATATCCGCCAACGGCCACACTTCTTCTTTCACCCTCTGGATAGCTATCTGGAATTAGTAAAAATAGATGAGATTAATAAAAACTACTCTTCCAGGACGCCTCATGTTCATGTTCTGCACCTCATTTGTATCAGTTTTGATGTTAGCTTTATTCGTCTCTAGGTTCATGCTGCATGCTTTAAAAATCAATCCCCGCTTGAGCTCCTTTGTTGTAATGATTGGATTCAAAAGAAGAACCAAAAGGAGACTGTCCCTTCTGACTTTACCCATTGAAAGACCACACTTTCTGGTCTAGCAGTCGCCCCTTTCCTCGACTTAAATATATATTATTATTTACAACCGACCAATTGAATCATGACCGATCCAAGACCAATGCAGTGTTCACCATTCGACGAAATTTTGTACTTGATTTCAGTGTACAATTGATTCGACAAGATTACATTACCATTTCGGATAGCTCACGAATGGAGAAATAACAAGTACTTTGTAATCATGGGAGCCTCAATTTTCCACTAGTTTATTAGAAGGACCCAAAAAAAAAAAAAGATTTAAAATGGGATGTTTATGATATGACAATTTAATAGAGGGATAATTTCAGAGACCTCCCTTGAGGTTTTCAGCAATTATAGATAGCTCTTCTCAAACTTTAAAAGTTATACCTACCTCTCTCGCTTTTAAAGTTTACGCAATAATATAGACCCAATAGTCTATAATTTTTCACAAATATCTAAAAATACCCATCTTCTAATGAATAAGATAAAACAAAACAAGGTTTTAATTTTTAACTTCTTGTACGTGGCGTACTTGCTGAACCAAATAGAGTCCGGCGAGTCCAATTCATCTCAAAATTCATTACTTGCTAATTCTTGCCTAATGCAACTCACTACCACCACTAC